TCCGGATTCATTTCACTTCAAATGAGTTTTTACACACATTAATAGGCCTAAAATACAAATTCTAAAAATATCTGAGGCTCCAGCACGCAAAACGGAGCAAACAGTTTTTCTCAGCATGGGCCGCACGTGCGGCAAATACCCCCGCACGTGCATTTTTAGCAGTGTTCAAAGTTCAAAATTGCAACATTTCCCGAACGTGCGGTCATGACCCCCGCACGTGCCGTTGGGGTTCCAGTACGTGCGGCCATAACTCCCGCATGTGCGGCGATTGCACAATCTGCACAGTCCGAAATTCAACAAGGTTCCATTTTTGTGGGTATTTTAGAACTTCAAAACCTAATCATAAATTGCTAGTATAAGGTCCCAAATTCATATGATTTGAAGTCACAATACATACCTTAATTAACATAAATTATATTCTTAATGTTAAGCTCATAAATACACCCACTTTCATGAGATTTCTAGCTTTACATCCACACATAGACATATATGCATACAACTATGAAATTTAAACAAGTCCATTAAAGGAATAGGGTGTATCTTCTCATAGGTACATTAAGTTGAATCAAAACACAAACCCAAATCAATTCAATAAATGAAAGAACAACTCAAGTAACCACTTAGCATAACATCTAGCGAAATTCCTTCTCTACTCAAAGAGAGGGAGAGGGGTTAATAATAATAAAAAAAAAGGAGTAGACCTACCTTGAGTCAAATCCCCTACAACCTCGTAATTTCCCCCAATTCCTTCCTTGAAGAACTACTCCTCTCAAATTCTTCTCTACCCTCTCTCTCTCAAGATGTTTCCTTAACTTAAGGCTTCTAAGTCAAAGTTAGAACATAGACATATATAAAGGTGAGTAAGGACAAAATTTAATCAGTTTAAGCATTCTGAATTGGAATTTCACAGAAAGTCATAGAATGGCTTAAAAATTATGCAGATCTCAAATGTCAAATCAGTTTCAGACTATCAAGCCTCTAGGGCTCTCAATTTCAGATCCAAACATTTCCATTATGACAAATGTTCTTTTCTTACCAAACATATCTGGATCTCTAATCATAAGATCCATGTACTTAAGCTTAATTTCTCATGAAATCTTACATTAAGCATTTGCAAACACAAAATAGGGACTGAAAATATATCAGAATCGTATGCGAGGGTCAAGTTATTACACTCTCCCCCCCTAAAATAAGTTTGGTCCCCCAAACTTGTTTTACCTTAAAATGGAAACAAATACGGATATTGGTGTTGCATTTCCTTTTCTTTTTCCCAAGTAGCCTCAGTCCCATAATGTTCTTGCCATTCTACTTTTACCATCGGAATCTCTCGATTGCGTAACTGCTTCACTTGTCGATCCAGAATTCGAAGTGATTTTTCTTCATAGCTTAACTTATCATCCAACTCAAGTTGGTGGTAATCAATGGCATGTGACGGATCCGGAAGCTATCCTCGAAGCATAGAAACATGAAACACGTTATGTACTTGACTCATATTTGGCGGAAGGGCAACCCGGTAAGCTACCGGACCCACTCACTCTTTCCAAAATTTGAAAGGGCCCAACATATCGGGGTGTTAACTTACCCCTTTTCCCGAATCTTGGATGTCCTTTTATCAGAGTGACCTTTACAAAGACATGACTATCTACTTCAAACTCCAAATCTCTTCGTCGATTATCCGCATAATTTTTCTGCCTACTTTGAGCAGTTTTTAACCTTTCCCGAACAATTTTAACCTTTTTAGTTGTCAACTGAACAATTTTAGGCCCTAGTAAGGATTTATCTCCAACTTCAGCCTAACACACGGGAGAACGACACGGTCTTCCATACAGAGCTTCATAGGGTGCCATTTCAATACTCGAACGATAACTATTATTGTACGCAAACTCTACCAACGGTAGATGGGTTTCCCAACTTTCTTGAAAATTTAGCACACACATTCAGAGCATATCCTCCAGAGTCTGTATCGTTCTCTCAGATTGACCGTCAGTCTAAGGATGGAAAGCTATGCTGAACTTTAATTCTGTATCCATTGTTTCCTGTAGACTTTGCCAGAATCTGGAAACAAACTTTGGATCCCTATCTGACACAATTGAGACCGGAACACCATGAAGCCTTAGAATTTCATTCACATAAATTACCGTTAGTTTATCTGCATTTTACTGAGTTTTCACTGGTAGGAAGTGAACGGACTTAGTTAATCGGTCTACAATGACCCATATTGAATTCATGCCCCGAGGAGTTCGTGGTAACCCTACAACAAAGTCCATGGTCAAATGTTCCCACTTCCATTCCGAGATTGGGAGGGGTTGTAACAAACCGGCTGGTCTCTGATGTTCCGCTTTTACTAGCTGACATTGCAAACACTTAGAAATGAACTCTGCGATCTCCTTCTTCATACTTGGCCACCAAAAATTTTGCTTCAAATCTCGGTACATTTTAGTACTCCCTGGATGCATTGCAAATCTTAAGGTATGTGCTTCTTCCATCAATTTATGTTTAAGTTCCAACACATTGGGGACACATATTTGGTTTTGAAATTTGAGCACTGAATCTACTAAACTGAACCCCGATTTTGGTTTTGTCTTTAACTCTCCACATGCCTTCTTTAGAGTTTCATCTTCCATTTGATGTCATTTAATCTCTTCAAGTAGGGTCGGTTGGGCCATTACTGCGGCCATTATAGCTTCCTGCCCATGTAGTACAAAGTCTACTTCCATTTTAATCAATTCAATTGCTAGTTCCTTTTGCCTTGAAACCAAATTTGCCGAATTCCCCATATTCTTCTGACCAAGCGCGTCTGCAACTGTGTTAGCTTTACCGGGATGATAATGAATTTGCAAGTCATAATCTTTAATAAGTTCCAACCATCGTCACTGCCGCATATTCAACTCTTTTTGCGTAAAAAGATATTTGAGACTCTTATGGTCGGTATACACTTTGCAGGTAGTGCTATACAGATAGTATCTCCATATCTTCAAAGCAAAAATTACTGCTGCTAGCTCAAGATCATGCGTGGGATAATTCTTCTCATGGGGTTTCAGCTGTCGAGAGGCATAAGCGATAACCCTTCCATTTTGCATAAGTACACAACCAAGCCCTTTATGCAAAGCATCACTATCGATTACAAATCCTTCAGTACCGGATGGTAAGGCTAGCACTGGTGCTGTAGTTAACTTTGTTTTCAATTCCCGGAAAGCAGATTCCCGCTCTTCTGACCATTCAAATGCAACTCCCTTTCGAGTCAGTTGTGTATACGGCACAGCGATTTTGGAAAAATCTTGAACAAACCTTCTGTAATATCCGGCTAATCCCATAAAGCTACGCACCTTAGTTACATTAGTGGGAGTTGGCCAATTCACAATCGCCTCAATTTTGTGTGGGTCAACAGAAACTCCTTCCTTTGTTATAATATGCCCCAGAAATGCCACCTCTTGTAGCCAAAATTCACATTTCTTCAACTTTGCATACCATTTCTTTTCCCTGAGGGTCTGAAGGATCAAGTGAACATGGTTCTCATGAGCTTCCACATTCTTCGAGTAAATAAGGATATCATCGATAAAGACTACCACAAACTCGTCCAGATAAGGTTTAAAGACATGATTCATCAGGTCCATAAATGCTGCCGGTGCGTTGGTAACTCCAAAGGGCATAACCAAAAATTCATAATGACCATATCGAGTTCGAAAGGCTGTCTTCTCTACATCATCAGCTTTAACTTTTAATTGGTGGTATCCGGATCGTAAGTCAATCTTTAAAAAGACTTGTGCCCCTTGTAACTGGTCAAATAAATCATCGATCCGCGGCAGTGGGTACTTATTCTTGATGGTTACTTTATTGAGTTCCCTGTAATCAATGCACACATGAAGTGTTCCATCTTTCTTTTTCACAAACAGAATTGGTGCACCCCAAGGAGACACACTTGGGCGGATGAACCCTTTATCAAGTAAATCCTGCAACTGAACCTTTAATTCTTTCATCTCAACTGGCGACATTCTGTACAGAGTCTTAGAAATGGGTTGTGTTCCCGGCACTACTGCAATTGTAAACTTAATCTCACGGTCTATTAACTGTCCCGGTAATTCTTCCAAAAAAACATCCGGAAATTCACGGACCACTGGAATCATGTCAGTATCTCCATTCATTACTTGCCACTCCAAAACACTGCATAAATACCCCTGACACCCTTTCTAAATTAATTTACAAGCCTTTGCTGCAGAAATCAAATAAGGTGGAGAAGTCACTCCCTATCCCTGAAAAGTAGACTCTGATTGTCCCAGAGGGTAGAAACTGATTTGCTTAGTCAAGCAGTCTATAGTTGCACCATATTCACTCAACCAATCCATTCCCATAATGACATCAAAATAAGTCATATCAAGAGGTAACAAATTAGCATATATCCGAATATCCCCAAGTTGGAGTTCACAAGCTAAATATATAGAAGCACAGATCATAGAGTCTTCCATTGGTGAAGGCACACACAACATATAAGACAATTTTTCTTCAGTTTTATCTAGATTCGGAGCAAATAGTTTCAACACAAAAGAATGGGTGGAGCCAGAATCAAACAATACATAAGCAGAATGACCGTGAACCATAAATGTACCTGACACCACTGTTGTCACATTTTGCACATCTCCCGGAACCAATGCAAACACCCTGCCCTGTCTCGCAGTGTCTTTATTGTTAGTAGGCTTGGCAACTGACTTAGTGTTGGTAGGTGGTGTAGACCCCGCTGAACTGGTAGCAGCCCTATTGCCATTTTGTCGCTTTCTCTAAGGGCAATCTTTTATCAAATGGCCCGTTTTACCACACTGAAAACAGGCTCTAGACTTCTGATAGCACGTTCCACGATGCTTCTTTCCACATTCTAAACAAACAGGAATTGAATCATGACTAGGGGTAGAAACATTTGATGTCCCTGAATTTTGTTTCTTGTTTGGTGGAGTAGTTGACCCCTTTGACCCTTGGTTGTTTTGCCTTTTCCCTTTCCACTCGGAAATTCAGTTCTGAGCAGTAATATTTCCTTCCGCTATAACAGCCATTTCCAACACATCAACATAAGTGGGTAGCTTCAACATATTAACTCGGTCCAGGATAGCACCCCGTAATCCCCCTTCGAACTTCCGTGCCTTCTTATAATCTGTGTCTACCATATGAGGTGCAAACTGGGCTAGCTCTGCAAATTGGGCTTCATATTCAGCAACGGTCTTGTTCCCTTGTCTAAGAGTTTCAAATTCAGTCACCTTCTTATCTCGCATACTTTGAGGAAAATACTTATCGTGGAATAATTGCAAGAATCTGTCCCATGTCAATCCTTGACGTATAGTTCTTGTAAGCATCCACCACCTCCGTGCCTCGTCCTCAAGAGTGAGGGTAGCCAGTTGCACCTTTTGAGCTTCAGTACAGGGGAAAACTTCGAATAACTTCTCTATTCCCAGCACCCATGCTTCAGCTTTCATTGGTTCTATCCCCCCTTTGAATAATGGTGGTTTCATCTTTTTAAACTCCTTTGTGAGTGTAATGGTTCAATCTTCAGCTTGAAAATCTTGTACTGCCGATGGAGGTATAGGTGGCGGTGGCAGTGGAAGTTGATGCTGTGGTTGTTGCTGTTGTTGCCGTAGGGTCTCCGCCATTTCCATAATCATTCGCTCCATCCTATTCAACCGTGTAGAAGTAGCATCTTCCGGGTCTTCTGTCCTTGTCCTCACCATAATCTACACAACAATCAATTATATACCATAGACATAGTTCAAAATTGTTAGCATTATCAGAGTACACTTAACGTTGCCATCGATCTTTTCATATACTTCTAGGATGTCATGCATAATGCCTAAGTCTTTTCTAGACACCCTAAAGCTCAATGGATCCGTGTGTGAGATAGCAACTCGTGCTCTGATACCACTTGTCACACCCCAAACTCGCCCCTAAAAGTTTGGACATGACCTATACAGAAATGGACATTCAACCTGATATACATAACGTACGGGGCCTTAACGGAAGCATTAAATATAAGCAAATAAGAGAAACAAATTACATTGAGCTACTACTACTATGCCAGGATCAAAAACATCATAACAGGTAATTAAAACCCAAAACATACACTTGAACATCGGTTACATACATATACATATACAGACCTGGCCCTACATTTGGGCGTATAACAAAAACATTGAGTTAAGGAAGTTATGTACTTTCAACCCTGCACAAAAATAAGGGTACAAGCCATCATCTTAACAAAACTTCGCCAAAAATGAAAATGGCTTCATTTAGGGTCTGGACACATAGAGGTCGACCAAAGAGAACAAGCGTCATGGCTTAGGACTGACCACTTGGTTGGTTACCCACAGAAACAGACATAACACAGGGTGAGCCAGGCTCAATGAATAGAAATACTTTTATAATTTGATGTTTAATGTAAATCATAATACAACGCAATGCGTATGTAAATGCAGAGATTACATATTTAATCTAATTCTGTATTAATTTCAGAACGGCCTTAGGCCCAATCTTGAAACATAATGGCTTTAAGCCCTTGAACATATTGGCATTAAGCCCTTAAACATGTTGGCATTGCGCCCTTGAACATATTGGCATTAAGCCCTTAAACATGTTGGCATTGAGCCCTTGAACATGCATGTATGAATCAAAGAGGTGTCTCACACGGATTCTAGAAGTGACTCACATCGTAGCACTTAGTTCTGTGTAGCACTTTGTTCCATACCATAACAACTTAAACGGAATGGCCATAGGCCCAAATATCTTTAGAGCAAATTGATCTCAGCGTCTTACAGAATTTCATAATCATATGGAAGTAGTTTCATCCTTCCCATTAATTATTCTCATTCGTTCACATAGTTACAAAGTTAATAGAATTAACAGAATGCTAATGGCGAACATTAGTTATAGTAAAGCGTACTACTACTCATAGTGTTGTGACGACGTGCTAGTTCCTCCCGGAGTGTGTCCTGCACACATTCATAAGTTGCTAATTAGTTCATTCTCTTTGTTGAATCATTTTCGGATTCATTTCACTTCAAATGAGTTTTTACACACATTAATAGGCCTAAAATACAAATTCTAAAAATATCCGAGGGTCCAGCACGTAAAACAGAGCAAACAATTTTTCTCAACATGGGTCGCACGTGCGGCTGTGAGCCCTGCACGTGCGGCAAATACCTCCGCACGTGCGGCAGTGATGCCCCGCACGTGCCTTTTTAGCAGTGTTCAAAGTTCAAAATTGCAACATTTCCCGCACGTGCGGTCATGATCCCCGCACGTGCAGCTAGGGTTCCCGCACGTGCGACGATTGCACAATCTGCACAGTTCAAAATTCAACAAGGTTCCATTTTTGTAGGTATTTTAGAACTACAAAACCTAATCATAAATTGCTAGTATAAGGTCCCAAATTCATATAATTTGAAGTCACAATACATACATTAATTAACATAAATTATATTCTTAATGTTAAGCTCATAAATACACCCACTTTCAAGAGATTTCTAGCTTTACATCCACACATAGACATATATGCATACAACTATGAAATTTAAACAAGTCCATTGAAGGAATAGGGTGTATCTTCTCATAGGTACATTAAGTTGAATCAAAACACAAACCCAAATCAATTCAATACATGAAAGAACAACTCAAGTAACCACTTAGCATAACATCTAGCCAAATTCCTTCTCTACTCAATGAGAGGGAGAGAGGTTAATAAAAAAAAAAAACAAAAAGGAGTAGACATACCTTGCCTCAAATCCCCTACAACCTCGTAATTTCCCCCAATTCCTTCCTTGAAGAATTCCTCCTCTCAAATTCTTCTCTATACTCGCTCTCTCAAGATGTTTCCTTAACTTGATGCTTCTAAGTCAAAGTTAGAGCGTAGATATATATAAAGGTGAGTAAGGACAAAATTTAATCAGTTTAAGCATTTCGAATTGGAATTTCACAGAAAGTCATAGAATAGCTTAAAAATTATGCAGATTTCAAATGTCAAATCAGTTTCAGACTATCAAGCCTCTAAGGCTATCAATTTCAGATCCAAACATTTCCATTATGACAAATGTTCTTTTCTTACCAAACAGATCCAGATCTCTAATCGTAAGATCCATGTACTTAAGCTTAATTTCTCATGAAATCTTACATTAAGCATTTGCAAACACAAAATAGGGACTGAAAATATATCAGAATCGTATGCGAGGGCCGGGTTATTACAGCAACCATGGAGGAGGATTGTATTGGTTTTGTTCGACGATGCCACAAGTGTCAGATCCATGCAAACGCATGAATATCCCACCGTCGAAGTTGTACAACATGACTTCACCATGGCCGTTTTTAGTCTGGGGAATTGATGTTTTTGGGGTAGTTACTCCGAAGGGGTCAAACCGACATGAGTACATCCTGGTGGCAATAGACTACTTTACAAAGTGGGTCAAGGCCCAATCCTACGCAGTGCTGAAAGTGGCACACGTAGCTAAGTTCATCAGGAATAATATCATATGTCATTATGGGGTTCTGAATAAGATCATTTCAGACAATGGTTCCCACTTCAAGAAAGAAGTGATCGACTTGTTGGAGAAATATAACGTGGCTTTTCATAAGTCATCCACATATCGGCCGCAAACCAACGGAGCTGTTGAGGCCGCCAACAAGAACATCAAGCACATTCTATAGAAGATGGTGGAAACCTACAGGAACTGGCCAGATAAGTTGCCACTTGCTCTTTAGGACTACCGGACATCAATTCAGACTTCTACTGGAGCAACTCCGTATTCTCTGGTTTATAGGATGGAGGTTGTTTTGCCGATTGAAGTTGAGGTTCCGTCGCTGTGGCTTATGGCTTAGTGCCAGATAGCAGAAACAGATTGGCAGCAGAGCAGGTTCGAGGAACTTATGCTGCTCAATGAGAGAAGGTTGAAAACACTGTACCACGTCCAAGGTTATCAACGAAGGATCGCCAGGGCTTTCAACAAGAAAGTTAAGCCTAGGAATCTAAAAGAAAGGGATTTGGTTTTCAAAGACAACCGAGCTCCCATCCATGACTGTAGGGGCAAGTTCAGACCTAATTGGACTAGGCCTTACATCATCAAGTCTATTTGGTCAGGTGGAGCTGTCGTTCTTATGGACCTAGATGGCCTTGAATTCTCCCAACCAATCAACATGGACAAGTTGAAGAAATACTATCCCTGAGTGGGTCGCTAGGCTGAAAACCCGAAAGGGCGACTTAAGCAAAAGTTAGAGCACAAAAAATTGGAAAAAAGAAAAACTGATCGCAAGGTTGAAAACCCAGAAAGGTCGGCCTTGGCAAAAGTTAGAACGCAAAAGGAGAGTGTTAATACCCGAGTGAACCTGAACTGAACTACATAAGGCTTGATTCCCATCTTTGGGATACGTAGGGAACTGCTTTCTGAAGTCCAGCCATAAACACTTCCAAATCAACTGTGTCCATGTGATCATTTTGGTCATTTTTGTCTTTTCTACATCCAAGAGTTCGGTTGTGATCTTTGCTATCAGAGCTAGTTACAGTGCAGTGCAGTGCTCTTCAGACAAAGGGCAACTTTCCAGTTATTGGATTCGAGGTTGTGCATCTCAAGGATAGATTCTGAGTGTGTCCAATTGTGATCCTTATCGAAAATGGTTTTGAAAAGTTTTAATAAAAGTTGATTTTGTCCAAATTAATCTTTTTACAACTTAGACCATTTTTTGGACCAAAAGGAAAATTTCCAGTACCCACATTCTTTAATTTGATTGATTTCAATACAGAGTTCTCTAACTCTTGATACAAATTGAAGTTGCTTCTTATTACATTCAAAAGGAAAACTTAAAAGTACATATTAAAGCAATAAACTTAGGGCATAGTTGAGTTAGGTGATCCTGCCTCCTCTCCCAGAGCTTGTGGAAGTTTTGGATGCCAAAGTAGGCCCGGTTTGTGCCTCATCTTCAAGCCAAGCTATGCATTCGCCAAAAAGGGCGCAACTGAAATTGGAAGTGGGAGCCAGAAGTTCTCGTATCCTCCATGCAGTGGAATATCGAGCTAGCTGTGTGCCTCCGATTGAAAATAAAACTGGGTACTCTACCCCCTCTTCTAAGCAAGTCTGGTCCTGTCCAAACTAACGCCGAAATTGAAATGGAAAGTAGAAGACACAATGTGTCAAGCCAACCAACTGAATGCTAGGCTGCCGGGATAGGCTGTAGCTCATCTCACGCAGATCAAACTAGGGGCAACGCCAAGCAATGTCAACCGCAGATCTATTGCACATCCAGTGGCACCACCACCCTTCGTTCAGAAAGTCAACTAGCCGTGGGCGAAAGAAATAGCCGCGCGCTGAATACGCAGGGCAAGCGTCCACTACTTTCAACTTATCCATCAGCCATACTTGGGGAGGGATGAAAAATAAGAGAGATTAAAGAATATAGAGGTGTATGTGGAGAGAAAAAGTAAGAAAAGGGTTGTGAGAGAAAAACAGAGCCTGAGGGCCGAGTGATGTGAGACACA